GCTTTCATTATCAGCTTGATTCCCACAGGAAACACATCATCAAGCTTAGATGAAGTTTTAATGGCTCTTGTTGCATAGTTAGAAAGGCAGAAAAATTGTGAGTTACAAGACATTGTCTGCTTTTTGCATGTTATTATCCTGTGTTCTTTGGTGCATTGTTTAATTTAAATAACAAAATTATTTAGTGCAGTAGTAGCATTAGTATAAAAAAGTAGGTTTAAGTGTTGTTAACAGCAAAAAAGAAGACCCAAGTATATACTTTATTTCATGTGTATTCCTTATTTGTTATTATAAAAGTAACTAAAATATAAAAATGATAAACTTTTTATTTCCAAAACATACAAAAGTACCTTCCACTGGCACTTTAGCTGTTCCTCGACATTAGCTTTTCCTATCTAAGCATTGGTCTCTGTGACCTATAAGTCTACTCCTCCCTTGATGGTGTAATGGTGGTGGGGGACTGTTTAGTTTTTCCTTCTTCATCTGATAATTCTAGTTCATGCTGAGAGATTTACTGCTTTATTACATGATGGGATAGATATACCTTGTACCCTCTTTTGTCTGTTTGCATGCTTTGGCTTTTGACCTCCAGGGGTACGTATTTTTTCACTTCCACAGATTAAAATTATATAATTTTGGATATATGGGATTCAAGTTTGGTTCAAGTGATCACATGAACCAATCAAATTTGTTTGTATTTCTTTGCTGCTCACTCGTGCTCTGTGATGTTTCTTCCCCTTCAAATTATTGGCAGCCTGTCAATGGTCCCCACGTTAATTTGCAGACGAATGGGGTCTCCTACTGACTTTTACCTTGGTCAGATTGTCTGCTTCTGTTCCTTCTGTAGTGATACCTTGGTGAAGGGACATTGTCTATCTGCTGTAGCCTCTATGTGTTACATGTGGCTTCCTTTTATCATCACTTCATGTTCGCAGATGTCCCAGAGCCATTTCTATTACAAATTGCCATTGCTCGTTTGCATTTTTGTTGTTGTTGACCTCTCAAGAGATCTTCTTTGGCTCTAGCAGCTGAATTGACTCAGACCTTAGTTTCAGGGCCACTTCATATGGGCTTACTGATGCCAACGGCATCGGTATCAATCTAGGTGTGTGTGTGGGGGGGAGTCAGTTAGAGTGAAGTTACAATTATTGATGGACACATGGTATTCCTTCAGTGCAGATCCATGGGCACTTTGGGTTCTGGTATCAAGATTAGTCTTTCTATTCCATTCTCCACCTCCATTATCCTCTCACCCTGTGGTATTTCCACCTTCTCCTGACAAGTGGGGTGTGGATTTTCATTTTTCGGCTATCAGAGTTACTGATCATGGGGGTGGTGGTAACAGTTGATCCCGTTCTTCCAAAATTTTATTCTTGTTTATTTATTGTACCGGAGACAAGGGAAGATTCATGGATGATCGTCGTTTTATCTCATCTCAACCCGTTCTTTATTTCTCCCCAGTCCATAATGGAGTTCTTTCTCACCCTACATTGGTATTCTTCACCAGGTCTGTGATTGCTGAGGCATTTATCTGCATTCTCATAGTGAATTCATCTTGCCTTTAGTTATGTTTTGTATACAGGGATCAGGTTCTGCAGTTCAGGGATCTAGTCATTTGTCTAGCATCAGCACCATATATCTTCTGATGGGTTGCAAAAATTATAACCATGCTTTATGCCAGTTCAGCCACCTCCCATCCAGCTTTAGGCTATGGAATGGGCTCTTACTTACAGGGAAGGTACTATCTCATCCAGTCAGGAATTATGAGCATTCATCCTTGCTCTCCAACATTGTGGACGAGGAGCATTCCACTTGCCCTCAGAATTATAGAGAGGAGGTGGAACACTGTGTTCAACCAAGAACCTAGGATGGGAATACTATGCGTTTAGAATTATGAGGAGATAGTAGACCTCTGTCAATGAACAATATACAACTATCTACTATCTAGCGATACCACAGCCAAGGGAACTGGCTTGGAAAAATCTGAGGTAGCCAAATGCCTCGTCATCTAATTAGTGACGCGCATGAATTGATTAACGAGATTCCCACTGTCCCTATCTACTATCTAGTAAAACCACAGCCAAGGGAACGGGCTTGGAAAAATCAGCGGGGAAAGAAGACCCTGTTGAGCTATGGATATTGTAGGATAAAATCTGAACCAGTATTACGAGTAGGTTCCTGCATAGGCCAGTGCTGCTCCTATTGAAATCTGGGAAATACATCCAGGGACCCGGGTAGGACGGCCCTCTTCTCCAAGAGTGAAGGAACACACTCAAACACTCTGGAGGAAAAGCCTCTGTCAACCAACCCAGCGACTGGAAACTGGGTGTGGTAAGGATTCCCTAGCTCCACTAGTAGAACCTTGGGGAGAGGGGGGATATACATTGGGGAGTTCTGAGGAACAGTGTAATAGGTGAACCAAGTTCCCTAAATTTTTAAAGCAAACCGATCAGGATTTATTCAATCCAATGATTGATAGGGACAGGCAGAATCTCCTTTACTTTTACTCATGATAGTCCACAAGTAGTGGTCCATGATAATATGGTAATACCATCTAGTAATGCGCCCAAAACGGTCTTATGGAACACCTCATTTCTACAGAGCCTGTAGCAACCAGAAGTAGAGTCAAATGGGTTGCTAGTACAGAATTAGACTGATAAAAATTAACATCATGAAAGGAGTTACAGTGAGCCACGTAACACATCTGGGCATGAAAGGACAAAACAAATGATCAGCGTATGATTGATTGTAGAGGTGAGAAATAGGTGGCAAAAGAATTGTGGAGAGGGATGTATCCCCTTTCCTGGTGGCCAGAGACTTAGAAAGAAAGGACCTATCAGGGTATAGAAGGACCAAGTAGAGGATCGAAATATATCCGGAACTCTGAGTAACAGAGGAAGTGAGTGAAAGTCAAAGATGTGCAATCCCATCCAATGAGGACTAATTGCATCTACCACCCAGGCCTGAAGATGAGGTAGTGGAGACTCCAAAGCGTGTAGTTGAGTAGCAATAAGTGGCCAAAAGCTAACAAAGGAGGCCCAAAATGAGAACAAGCTATCAGAAAACCTATTGTTCAGGAGAAAGAGAGGACTGAGACTGACAATTTGCTATAAAATCCATCTCCCCAGGAAAATGACAAGCCAGGAGGCTGACATGATTGGAATAGGCCCTATAGAGAAAGAAACAAAATTAAGAGACCACTAGAATTGATGAAATGTCTCAAGAGGATATTCCCCTGCAAAAGATATAGACCTTGCACTATTGCCTGTTGGACAGCAAAAAATCCTAAATTATTGATGTATAATGAAGAATCGTCCTCCATTCATATATCCTAGAATTCCTGATCTTAAAGATACACACTTCATCCTCCAAGTGAAGTAACTGTAAAGAGAAACTATGGACAGAGGAGCAGTATACGTTTATACACCCACACCCCCATAGATATATATACATATACACACAGACAACCATGCTAATGATAGAGGTGATCCCAAATAACAAACACTCAAGAACTAAGATGCTGCTCCTGAAGAAAGAGAGTGGAAAATCCAGTGTATTGAAGTTCCAAATCCTTTTGTTGCAATGGGACCACTGAAGGGATAGCATATGTCTTCCTCCACAAAAAAATGCAAAAGATTTGAGGGAAGCCCACAACCCCAGAGTAAGATATGCATTATCCCATCATGCAGAGCCTGGGATGTTGCCTTTCGATCTTCAGGTGGAAGAGAAAGTTTGTATACTTTAGTGTTTCCTCCTTTCTTTTTGTAATTCCAGTGGTTTGGAGTGCATCACTTTATTGCTACAGGTTGGGTTCCAATACAAAATATATCTATATATCACATTGCGGTCTAATTGCCCTAGCCACCAACATGTGATATAGGAACCAAGACCCCTTTAATTCCAACACCGAGTTGTGGAATCTCAGCTATCTGGTTCAGACTGCCTATGTTAATTATTCATGTACTATTCCACCCTTGGTATCGATATTCAGTTCTGGGTATAGAGCATACCTGTTCTGGATGTAGTGTGGTTTACCCCACTTGGGTACCACTATTATCTTGGTACATCCAGGTTGTATGCAGATGCTTCTGTATGGACAATGCCCTCACCGGCCCCTCCGCCTTCTCAATGTGGGATTATAGATAAAGTGTCAGCAGATGGTAAGTATGATTTGGAAGTTAACATTTTCCTAAATTGAAAATGTATTTCCAATATTACTTACCTCTGCTGACACTCTCCCACCCTTCTTCCCCACTAAGAGCCGGTGTTAGCATTGGGAATGGCTTAAGTCTTAAAAAAAGTGATTACATTATCTGAATGAGGTGCTTATATACAGTACCTGGATAGAGGGCATATTCATGTTCATGAAGAATTTTACAAATTAGATATTGCCAAGGGCATTCAAGTGGGGTATAAGAGACTGGAGCAAGCGAGACCAATGCTTAGATAGGCAAAGCCAATGTTGAGGAATAGTAACTAAAGTGTCAGCGGAGGTAAATATTATTGGAAATACATTTGCAATTTAGAAAAATGTTAACATTTGTTAAGGTTAGATTAGGTGAAATAAATAGCAAAAATATAATAAAAAATTTTCACAAGTTACTCTCGCAAGTAAATCGTGCATAATGTAATTCAATAGTATAACATGAGTTGCACATTCAACAAGTGATTTACGACTTATAATGGCTTTCTATAATTAGAGAGATAAGTATTCATTTTAAATGTTTTTTTCACTTATTTCTATACACAGTATTGTGTCAGTTGTCTTCAACTTAAATGTCTTTCTTGTAATATTTGTTTCTTTACAGTAATACGTATCAATATATGTTGTAAAACGGTGTATACCATTAATAAAATTTACTTTAAGGGAAAAATTATTTTGCAGAAATGCATACCCGACTTATAACATTGATCGTATGGGAAAACCTGCTTATTATAACATGCATTCGTATAGTGCACCATTTTTTAGGATCGCATTTTACGCGTTATAGCAGGTATACCTGTACCTCCTTACATACACTTACTTCACCCAGTGATGTGTGTATAACCAATCAAAAGCTAAGAATGTCCCCCTAGTATTTTTCTCAGCCTCTTCAAAGTACTTGCATGACAAACATTTTCTTTTTATGCTAGATTCCAAGCAGTAAGGTAAGACATTAGTGGACTCGAAATTCATATATTTTTAGATTCAAATACAGGTTAGTTACTAAGCTTGATAAATTATAGTGGAATTCTATGGTAATGATATAGTAATTTATGAATTTTTGTTATTTAAAAATGCATATATAAAACCTAAAAATATATATAAAACATATATAAAGTTATAGTATAGATGGTCGCTTTGGGGTCACATGGTAGGTGTAATCCTCTGAGTCGGTATCGAAATAGTTAAATTGACTATTCTGTTAAGGTATATGTAAAAGTAAAAATATGTAGCACTATTGTTTAAAATACTTTTTTCAAAATGTGTCCGAAATTCTTTTACTAGATTCAGAGAATTAGGCTAGATTTGTTATCAGGTTGTGATTTTTTAAAATCTAATATTGATGAACACATATATCTTTTGTTTCAAAAGAATTATTTCTACCACAGGAATTAGAAAAAATCACTGCTGAGCTTGAAAAAGAGAAGAAGAAATTAGAAGGAATGATCTTTCAATTTCAGGAAGAGCATCAACAAACATTCAAGTACAGTTTCTAATATTCTTATGTATACAGTCTGTAAGCGCATAACCTAATTATTTATTGTGGTATTTTTAGGACTTTTGGTAAATGTAAAACTGAGGCTTTGTGACAAAAACTTTTAATTCAGAAAAATTATTTGAAAACTTGTTTTCATTTTTTAAGTATATTGGTGTCTAATTTTATGTTTTACAACTAACATATCATTAGGGCTGGAAATTTAATGAATATCTTATAAACTTCAAAGTAAAGTAGCACAGTATTTCAGTCCGTATGAATGAAAAATGAAAATAGGTGTATGTATTGTTAATTATTTTACACCTGCATATTTGATTTTATGAAAGCATAAGCCAACATAAAGAGTCTGTAGTTTATACTGTTGGCAAGATAATTCAAACATTTTCAGTAATACATCACAGAACCTTTCAGTACTAATCTTCATATACCCTGTAGTGGACAGTTACGTATCTCAAAAGTAAATTTATATTTTGTTTTGATATATGTCTACTGAGGAGGTAACTTGTACTTTTTAGTAAACATTTGAATTTAAAATTATCAACTTGTCTTACATTTTTCAGTTAAAGTCCACTGATTTTTTTTAGTAACAATAATTTGGTCAAGAACACCTGCATATCCCAAAAGGCAGTTGTTCCCCCTCTTCAAATCTTCACCAAATTTCATAGCAGTTATTGTTGTAAAGGTTTATGGTAGTTACGAGATTGGTCAAATTGACCAACCCAATACAGTTTCTAATATTCTTATGTGTACAGTCTGTAAGCACATAACCTAATTATTTAGTATATTATTATTAGGACAAATTTCATAGCAGTTATTGTTGTTAGATGGGTACATATACAGGTAGACACAGAGAGAATTCTTTCATTTTTTGAGCCAGTTTTTGCCACCTCCTCTTTAAACTATCATTTTGAAATATACTTCATCAAATTGCAAGGCATGTTGCATATAATAACAAATAATCAGTAGGAGTTAAAGGTATAGTATTATTGTGTTATTTTCTTTAAATAAGATTTACTCATGTGGTACTTTTACATTGTAGTTTTATATCTTAAATCCTTTGGGGAGAGTACTTCCAATTAGTGCATAAAAATCACACAGAGATCAAACTGATACTCGACAATCTGTACTCTGTACATGTTAGTCTAAATGTCAATTTTAAAGATATACAGGGGTTAACTCTCTCTATACAGGGTAAGCCATTTTGACTGACATTTAACCACCAGGTAACCATGAATGTATTATAATGTTTAATGTAGTGCGTGTATCTGTACAAAATTTGGCACGCTGTTAGTAGACATTACAAGTCATTTGTACAAAAAACTTGTATTTCTCAGCTAAGTGTTTTTACAAAAGATTTGTCTGTGAATATATGGATTTAGTGTGTGACTCAGACTGACGAGTCTGAGTGCAAGGTGGTTTTCTTGTTGAGGTTGAAAATACTTTTCTCCATCTTACATATTTCAAATCTCATTAACATGAACCTGCTACATAAGTATCAAAAAATTTTTTTTCATTAAAGCTTTATATTTTTTTTATCTGTTATTTCCTCTGTATTAACACTGTGTGGACTCAGTTGATTTCACTGACCTTGAAACAACAAAAGAAGTATAAAATAAATTTAGTTACATTTTTTTTTCTAGAATGACTGCAGATTGTAACAAAAAAATACAATTATTTATCCTAAATATCTTAAGGCATGGAAAAGTTTACATCTGTTTTAATTTTGATGGTTTATAGCACTTTGAACCATGTCTAACTAATAATCTTGCCACAAGCTGTAAATTACACGGCAAAAAAAGTTCAAGCTACAGTATTGAATGATATAACACACACAAACTACTTGCGAGCATACCTCATGGAGAAATTTGTATTGTATTTTTTGCCATTATCTAACCACAAAAGTTTCTAATTTTTAGATTTTAATTATTTTAATAAGAATAAAAACATAGATAAAAAAACAAGAAATTTAGTTCTTATGTTTAGCATTTTTTCTGCACTTCTATGAAACTTAACTCTAATTCCTTCTAATAATATTAGTAATAGCTAAAATAATTTGTATTTATTTCAGATATGCACTTAGAAAAGCAAAATAATTACATACACAAAGCAAACAACGTTTTACAGCTATCATAATTTGATTGGCTTTTTAACTAAGGCATAAGTGCCTTGAAATAATTCTCATAGCTTTAATCTGAACTCAGCAATAGCAACTTTGAATCTGTTGGTGAAATAACTAAACTTTCCTACTGAGAAAGTTCATTATACTTCATTTGGTAAATTGAAACTTTGTTTTTCTATTAGTTTTAAATGATGTAAAGTAAACATCAAAGAGAATTATTGGCAGTTAGTGAAATAGAAGATGTTATAGTAAGTCATGGCAAGTGAGTTTGACTTTCTTTTTATACCTCTGTCAACAGAAAAGATTTAAAGCTAAAAAAATTGACTATCCGTATATAATATATACACTATAATAAGTAATTTATGTTGAACTCAGAGCATCATAGAGTGGTGATGAAAAATTATACAGTATGAGGAACAAATGTCATGCTCAGACAAGCAAAGATGGAAACTTATTTGATAACTTGCTTTTGAAATTACGATATTAAAACTTTTATGAAATTAAAATATGGTTTATTGAATACATTTTGATGCCAAGTTTATTTATGTACAATGATAATAAATTACATTGGTTAAATTTTGAATGTAACTGAGTGTGTTAAAATAGTATTTGTGTTTTGTATTTCCTGTCTTGGTCCTATTATACGTATTTGATCCCACTTGTACATTTAGGATAACCCCAAGATTGATGGTCTAAACCTTTTTTTTTTTTAATTGAACATAGTCACATGTAGTCATAAACTGTTTTGTTTTTCACTCTACTTATTTGACAGTCACATTATCATGCAAAGAACATAACAAATCTGTCATTTGGCAGCTGACAAAAATTACTTATCTAAAATAGCTGGAAAGCACGGCTTCAATGATAGAATGATGTAGGGAACGTTATAATGGTGGGGCAAGTAGTATTCATATTGTATCTGAGAGTTTTTGCCAGTTGTACCCAACAATAATGCTACATTTCATACCTGATATATGCTTATGTATTACCAGTAATTATTCACAGAACATGATAGTGACTTCTGCCATCTCCCTTGACTTGTTTAATCACTGGATTTCACTCCATTTGAGCATTCTTTGGATGAACTTCAGTGTCATATTCATTACTGTAGTTCTCTTTTTGATCTTACTCCCAGAATAAATGACAACTTCTGGCATCTGGATAAAACAAACTTTCCATTTCAAGCTGTGTAATATATGTTTTTTGAAATCTTACTGAGGATTAAAAGACTAGTATTATCACCATCACTAAAAAAGTTAGCAACATGCTCAGTTGCATTGTCTTAAGCAGTGTGGAAGTACTTTCTCATATAAATGTTTTTTCTTGATCTAGATATGTAAGAAATATAGACTTAACTTATACATATGTAAGTTTTATATATTTAGTTTATGAGCTGTTAATTATATCTGCCTCATATAGGACTTCTTGTCTTAATTCTTCTACCTCATGAATCCTGTTTGGAAAAAACTCATGATTTTAGTCAAATAAAGAAAATGTCCATGTAAGGGAAGGATTAAACATGCATATGAGTGGGTCAAAGTATACATATCACATCCCTTTTAAAGAGTTACATTCAAAACTTAATTATCAGTGTATGTCAATACACTTAGCATCAAAACATCTTATACATATTGAGAACCATGGTGTCTGTTCATCTGTCTCTCGTTTGAAATGATAGGAGAACAGGCATGAATATTGTTCATGCCAAATTATATTTTGCAAGCAGGATATTCTCCACTAAGTTGTAAGGAATTACACTATCATTCACATTTCAAAATGTGATGTAACTTAAAGAATAAAAATGTAGATTTACTATATATTATTGTTGAGTGGCTCTTAACGTGACTGAAATGCTCAACATTTACTTTTCACAGTGGGCAATATAAGTAGCTCAGAGCCTCGGCTCTGAGGGAAACCAAAAGTGCAACACAATTAACCTTTTTAAAGTCCATGAAATAATTTAAATTGATAGATTAACTTAAACTTTTCTCATCACTGAGAGTACTTTTGCTTGTAGTTTATAGATTTTAATTTTTAATTCTGAAAGGAAATGTTTAAAATATGCACAATATTAACCCTTCCGTGTTGTGATATTTCTACCCTCTGAATTCTTCTCTTCAGATTTTATAGCTTCAACAATACAACTTTGTAGTGCCTAACTGATCAGAAATACAAACTAAATACAAAATAAATAATTGTGATCATCTGTTACAATCTGCAGTCACTCTAGAGAAAAAGGGATTATTGCTTTCATATAGCACTTTTCAACATTCATTTCACTGTACATTGATTATATTGCAACAATTAGTGTTAGAGTAGAGAAAACAGTAGATGAAATAGGTGTTATATAAAAAAAACTTTCAATATTCATTTAGGAAGTTCTAGAGGTTATGCAAATGATAAATGAAAACTGAAAGATGAAAACAGATATTTCTATTCTTAGTAAAGGATTCATAAGTTCACAGAATAAATGTTTAGTAAAAATACTTATTAAAAAATATGATTTTATAGTATGTGTAGTTTTGTGGTTACATGATTATTAAAAGATCAGTCAAATTCCCCAAGCCTATATACATATGGTTAACTAAGTCCAAATTAAATCTTTTTTTTTTCAGTCACTCTTCCTTCTTGCTAGCCATTAGGTGAGTTTACTTGATGGAAAAGGAATGTAAAGTAAAAGAACATTTTTACATATTGAAATCAAACATTTAGTAAACCAGATTGAACTTTGTTTATAATATTTGATCTCACAAAAAAATGATCCTCAGTTTGAATAGAACTAAGGTTATGTGTATGTATATTTCAGAGAATTGGAAGAAACAGCTGAAGCTCTTAAGATTCTTGAAGAACAAAACAGTCAACTCAAATACACTACAGATATGTTACAAACCACTCTACAGGTAATCATTACTCAATGAAATCACTGACTAATTGGATAGTTACGTGGGTTTGTAACAAAAAAAAACTGACAAGAAAAATATATTCTATGGAAGTTTTTATGTGCTAGAAATTAGAAGTTTTGAACTTACAATTATATAATAGTTTAAATTTAACCACTTTCATGTACAATCATTTCAGTGATAAACTGATAAGTTTATAAAGATGTATACCTAATAATGTGTTAGACCATTTTTTGTGGCAATATTAGTCTGGGCTCGATGTGGAATAATATTGTATTTTATTTTTGTATATATATGACTTAAGTTATTAAGGCTATCTGCTGCCATCTCTAACAGCAATATCATAGAATGTACAACATGCCAGAAGATGTCTTGTTCATTTGTAAGTTATTCTTTGAGAAGTACTGTCTACAGTTAGTTTACATATGTCAGTAGATGGTTATTCTGGTGAATGTGACATTGGAATTTATCCTAAAAATCATCAATTGAATTGAGATCCTGGGATTTTGCTAGCTAAGGAAGATAACTGAAGTCATCATCATCATAAGAGCTGGGCAGTTAGTGGAAGTTGCTGATGGATAACATTTAACTAATTGGTCATTCTCACATAAGAGAATAACCAAAAATAGTAGAAGTCAGAACAACTTTGAATTAATTGAAAATAATATTAAATCACAATGGCAATATTTATATTCCTTGGATAAATGAAATAATTGAAAACAGCATTAATCAGGAACACTAATTTGATTATTTTCATGACATTAATCTGTTTAATTTTAGTTTTGATTAATTGATTATTTTACATGATACTGACCAATGTCATCTGTGCTCATAGGTAATCAAATTTATTGCCCAGCTCTAATTTCTGACAGAAAACTATGGTATGTTATTGTACTATTACTAGGACATATTCCACAGACATATTTGCTCTTCATTCAAATTTTCCAGTCGATAAGTTTCTCTCAGTCTTTCAATTTGAACTTCATTCATGTTTTCAGTATGGCGTCTGCTTCTTTCTCAACTTACATATTCAGCTGATTTCTGCAATGCAACTTTTGTAGCTCTTCTTTGGTTATGCCTCAATGTTCTTTCTTTTGCCATTTCTTCATTTTCTGGTGTTCTGTATTTTGGATTGTTTCACAATAGACTCTGTTGTAGCGTTTTCTATTGGGGTTGAAGCTTGTGCTTTTTTCTACTCTTACTTCTTGCACTTTGTTGTATTTGTGCTTGTGTATTTGTTTCCAGTAATAGTCTTTTTTTTTCAATGCTTTTCTTCTTTGTAGCAGTTTTTATCTTTACTCTTATTATTCATTCGTCAGGGTTTTCTTCTTTATCTGATGTGGTATATTTATTCTTGATTGAAGGTAATGTAAACTCCATATTATCTGTATTAAACTATGTTAACCTTACTTTTCACTGAATTAAATTTCTCTTACACTACTATTTTATATAGATGTGTTGCTCCTCTTTTGTTTTTGTACTTTTTATTTTTTGATTACTTTTAATATGATGTTTATTTTTTTGTTTAATGTTTATTATTATTAGGTATTTCTTTTTTATTTTTGTTAATTACATGTATTTTATTTTTTATTTTGTTTTTTTGAAGTTAATGTTAAACACACAGATGAACACACTAATTTCTGGTTAATTTACCCACGGTTCAAACTGGCTCCATTAGGCTCAAATTAAGTAAAATTTAGTGAAACTGAATTAAAACAGAAACTTTCATATACCATGTTACAGCAGTACTTATAAGGCTTTTAAAGGCTGAACCTTCCCAACCCAACCTGCAACCATGCTATCACGAGTTTTGGGAAACAGTTTGAGTATACACCTGCCTCCCTTTTGAAGAAGCAGCCTGAGGGGTTTCCACCTCTTTCCAACTAACCCAGCAGCTTCCATGGTGTCTCAAACAATGTTAAAAAAGAAATCCTTGGCTGTGACTACTTTTTAATCTAACCTACTCTAAAAGTACTTTTTTGATCTATCAAAGAATGAAACTTTACAAATAAAAATTAAAATATTCAGATACAGATTAACCCTTTCGAGGCGGGTCACGGGTGAAAAGCCATGACATCTCGTTTGTTGACTTGCATTCAAAATTTTATTGAACTACTATATCATGAATTTATGTCAATAACTTTGTATCAAACTGTAGATTATAATTCACATTTGAGTACTATATATTACTCAATTTCTTAATTTAAAAGCAAATATTCAAGAAACACAGATAAACATTGATTTTTGCATGTCACATGGTATGTTGAATGCAGCACTGGTTCAAATTAGATGTTTATGAAGTCAAAATACCAAGTCTGTAGTTTCATATGAATTAGAAACTCAAATTAGCAATATTGAAAAGCTAGAATATAAAATAAGAGGCTCTTGTATTTTGATAAGATATTGCTCATATAATAAATCAAACACACTGGCACTCTGCCCACCTCTTTCCACTTTTGGAAATGCTCTCTTATATATACACTTACTTCTATATATGATATGAATAACCAATTGGAAGCTCAGAATGTCTCCCTAGTGGCTTTCTCAGCCATTTGAATGGGCTTGGTGCCATTTCTTTCTTTTTTGAATCAATATTTCAACAATGTAGGGTGTATCTTTAGTCTGCTTGAAATTTCACATTTTTTCAGACTAAAATACATCTTAGTTACCAAACTTGATAAATTGTAGTGGAATTCTATGCCATTAAT